TTCAGTAAAGGAAGAAAAATGCTAGTTTAAAGTATAGAGAGGATGCCCCCATCTATTTTAAGACACTAGGACTTGGAAATGTCTCAGGTCCCCTCTACTACTATACATAATAGATTTTTTTAATGCCACTTTTAAATGTTCAAGCACATGTCCCCCCCAAAAAAAAATGCAGAAGCATTTTTGAACATTTTAACTTTCTGAATTTGAATTAATGCAATATTTACTAATAAGGTCTTACTTCAGATACAAATTTTGAAATAATACAAAGCCCTCTAGATTTTAAAAATTTGTCAAAAATCACATCCTATTATTCCAAAGCTGGGTAGCTCAGTAAACTGTAAAACTAATTATACTACTGCTTGTTGGCTATATCACTTTTAAAAGTTAAAAAAAAAGCCATATTCCTTTGTCATGATTGTGTCAACCACGTCGTTCTTTTTGTGTTTAAAAATATGGTGATATTGATCATTATTGTGTTTTTTGTTTTGGGGGCTTTTTTGAGATAGGGCCTTGCTCTGTCACTCAGGCTGGAGTGTAGTGGTGCAATCAGTGGTGCAGATCACTGTAACCTCGAAATCCTGGGCTCAAGCAATCCTCCTGCCTCAGCCTCCCAAGCTGTGACCACAGGCAAACACCACCATGCCTGGCTATTTTTTTCATTTCTTGTGGAGATGGGGTCTCATTATGTTGCCCAGACCGATCTCCAACTCCTGGCCTCAGGCAATCCTCCTGCCTTGGCCACCGAAAGTGTTGGGATTACAGGCTGGAGCCACCAAGCCTGGCCTATTATTGTGCTTTTAATTTAATATCTATTGCTATTGAATTTTAAAATCTTTTTATCCTCTAACAATGTCAGTAAGTGTATACTAAGTGGACATTACAAGGCTAATGCTGATAACATGTCTGGAAATCATTAACTCTGGAATAGAAGTCAGATGTAAACTTTATAAGAAAAGGAAGGCAAGGCTGATAATTTAGGAGAAAACAAACTGAAAAAATATTAGAGATAATGCCAGGAAAATAAAAGGTAACATTAAAGTAATAATATGTTACAATAGTTATTAATTGATATCCTCAAAAAACCTGCCCCCACTATTTTACAAGCATTCTTATGGAAAAGTGAGACTTGAATGATACAAGTTTTAAAGCATGCAAAGTCTTCAGGGTAACTCTCCCATAAAATGAAACAATCCTGCAAATCTTTCAGAAAATGTGGCTAGATTTTTTTCAATTAAAAAATTTGATTCCTGGATAGGTGCAGTAATTCACACCTGTAATTCTAGCACTTTGGGCAGCCAAGGCAGGGGATTGCTTCAGGCCAGGAGTTCGAGAACATCCTGGGCAACATAGTGAGACCCCACCTCTACAAAAAAATAGAAAAAATTAGCCGGGCAAGGTGGTGTGCACTTGTAGTCCCAGCTACTAGGGAGGCTATGGCAGGAAGATCGCTTGAGCCCAGGAGCTTGAGAGTTTAAGGGTGCAGTGAGCTATGATGACACCACTGCAACTTAGCCTGGATAACAAAGATAGACTCTGTCTCAGTAATACATATATAATTCCTTTATCTCTAGCATTCCATCTCTCAAGTCAAGTTTTTTATATGAATTTTTTAAAAAAACAAGTCTGCAAACTGAGTTTGTGGTTTGTTCTGAGGATCAGAGCGTCATCATTGCTTCTATAGAGCTGCCTCATTTACCTTAACAATTTCTCCACAATATGATAGAAAGTTAAAAGGTTCATAAATTGCTATGGAATCACCAATATATTTTTATATTTCCTACAATTTACTTGAAAAGGTAGACGACGACTAAGTAGCTTATAGAAGTACTCTGACAAAAATTCAAAGACTCCACTTAGTCTTCTAAATATGTGTGAATTTCCAGTAATTACAATTTTTACTTTGTTATTGTCTTTTGTTTTTTTTTTTTTTTTTTTGAGACAGAGTCTCACTGTGTTGCCCGGGCCAGTCATTTTCTTTTCATTCACTACACTATAAAGAAAACTCAATACCCATTTTTAAAATAACAACTTTCTAATCTTTTATTGATGTCTAATTCTAAAATGCTCTAAATTCTTTCCCACAACTTCAATTTGCAATTTGAATCCCTCAGATATTTAATTCCACTATATACATAATTCATTAATATGATGACTATAGGACCATAGTTGCTAAATGGATCATCTTTTTCACTGCTGACCACGAATGCTTCAAGCATCATTATCAGTCCACTAGAACCCCTGCATTATCAGCAAAAGCTTATCAAGATGCTCCAAGTGCACAAAAACAAGGAGTTAAGATGACTTAGAATCACAGAAAGAGCTTGGAAGTAATCCTGGAGAATACTGAGTTCAACCCCTCTATTTTAAACATTGTGGTAATTGAGAACCCAAAGAGCTTACATGAATCATCCATGGTCACACTATTTGTAAGTCCATTCGGTGTCACACATACATGTATCTTACCTTTCTGGTGATGACTTAGAAGTGACAGGATACCCATGGACACTTTTTTTATTTTTATGGTCTAGAGAGATGACTTTATTTCTTAGGCTTCTTTTCAACTAGAAAAAAAATATGGAATTTTTATAAGAAATATAACAATATGACAAGAGGCACTTAAAATGTTCTTTTTATTTAGAAATTCAAGAAAAACAGCCAAATTCACAGTAGTTCACAGAGAAAAAATAATAAGTACAATCTATAGAATATCTTGCTCTTCGCTAGTGCAGAACTATTAGTCCACCAAAAAATACTAAGGAGACATTTTAAAATATCAAGGTTAAGTTTAGTCAGGATATCAATACTTTGAGATTCCAAAGCTTAAATAACTATAAAAATCTGGGGCCGGGCGTGGTGGCTCACGCTTGTAATCCTAGTTCTCTGGGAGGCCAAGGCGGGCGGATTGTTTGAGCTCAGGAGTTCGAGACCAGTCTGAGCAAGAGCGAGACCCCGTCTCTACTAAAAATAGAAAGAAATTAATTGGACAACTAAAAATATATAGAAAAAATTTGGTGGTGCATGCCTGTAGTCCCAGCTACTCGGGAGGCTGAGGCAGGAGGATCGCTTGAGCCCAGGAGTTTGAGGTTGCTGTGAGCGAGGATGATGCCACGGCACTCTAGCCTGGGCAACACAGTGAGACTCCATCTCAAAAAAAAAAAAAAAAAATCTGGGATGCATTTAAAGGAATTAATAAAAATTATTACATGCCAGGTTAAATAGGACCTATGATTCTGAAATAACGGCATTTATAACATGCATTTATAACAATCAGAAGAAATTAAAATTGATTCCCCATGAATTGGTGCATGGAAAATTTAGGAAAGAGCCAGACACCTTACTAACAGAGTTTAGATTAAATATGATTGGAAAAAAAGGTTAAAATTGATTTATTTAATATATAAATAGTGGAATCTAGGCAAACAAGTTATTTATATTCTCTATACCTTAGTTTCCTTATCTGAAAATAAATGTAACAATAGTAACTACTTCACAAGGACATAGATGATTATATTTATAATAAGTTTAAAAGGCTGTTTTCAAAAAAATAAATAAATAAAATGTAAAAAGACTGTTTTCACCAAAGAGATATTTGTACATCCATGTTCATAGCAACTTCATCATTCACACTAGCCAAAAGGTGGAAGAAACTCAAATTTCCCCCGACAGATGAATGGATAAACAACATGTTATATATATATATAAAGAAATATTATTCAGCCTTGAAAAGGATGCTACAAGATGAATAAATCTTTAGGACATTATATTAAATGAAATAAGCCAGATTGTGCTTTACAAAGGGCTATATTAAAAAAAGAAAGAAAGAAAGAAAGAAGCCAGGAACAAAAAAATAATACGGATAATGCCATTCATATGATGTACCTACAGTAGTAAAATTCATAGAAAGTAGAATGGTGATTTCCAGGGGTTGAGGGAGGGGACATTGGGGAGTTATTTATGGATACAGAGTTTCAGTTTTGCAAGATGAAAACTTCCAGAGATGGATGGTGGTGATGGTTACACAGCAATGTAAATGTACTAAATGCCACTGAACCACACCCTTAAAATGGTTAATATGGTAAATTTTATGTGTATTTTATAACAATTTAAAATAATTTTTTAAAGATTTTTAACACTTTTAACTAATGAAAAAAAAACTGTCTTGAACATGATAGCCCACAGTAAGCATTGTCCTGTTTATGCTGCAGGCATTAATTCATTATCACCATAGCCCTATACAGTATAAAACACATCACTCAATAAGAAGGAAGTAAAGCTCAGACAGTAAACTTGCCCAGTTGAACCCAAGTTTGACGTAACAGCCTATGTTCTTTCCAATGATCTAATTCTAAATTACACAAATTCTCAGAAATTCTTCTTACCAGTATCTCAACCTGAACACATCTGTCACCCTTGTTTCACTACAAAATGTAAACTTATCAATATAACTAGATTAAAAATATATCTTTTCTTCATTTTCACTAAGTTTTGCCTCTTTTTTTTTCTGACCTGGACTCTCGCAATGTTCTCTCAATGGGTTTCCCTGCCAATGATTTCTTCTCCCTCAATTCAGCATGCACCTCAATGTGAAAGTTAAATCTTTCAAAAAGGCATATCTAATGCTGTTCTTCTTAAATTCCTATTACCTTACTCCTTAAATCCCCATTACCTACAAGAGAAAAAAAAAACTTTTAACTTCTGCTTCCCATGAATCTTGTATTCTATTTTCTCTTTCTTGCTGGAAAAACTTAAAGTCATAAAATCTTGTATTCTGACAATACTAAACTACTGGTAGTTCCCTGAAAGTGCCATGCAATTCCATCCTTCTACATCTCTGCACATTTCCTCCTTCTAGAGTGTACTTTGTCCTCCCCAGTTCTCTGTGTCCATTAAGCTCCAACTCTAGCACCACCTATGAAGCCTTCTTCAATCTCTAAAACAGCAAATCAGTCTTTCTCCTGTGATACCGCGATACACTTAATATACCTCTATTACTAACAACACTTCTTACAATGAATTATATTATTTGTTTACATCAAACTAGCTTGTGAACCAAATGATTTGGTTCACAAGCTAGACTCTCAGAACTACTGGCCAACTAGTTCCCCTCCATCATTTCAATTTCACTAAACTCACGGTAAATGAAACCTTCACATTTTATGTTGCTGAATTTTGTGCATCCCACTGATCATGTTGTATTAATAAGGTTCTGCCTGTATTTACAAAATGGTGCAATGCCTAGTCCTTGAGCCTGATTTTCTACAGAAAAGAAACATCACTCCCACCAAACAGCGGAGGGACTACACCACTACAAAAAAATGAAATAAACACATTGAGACAAACTGAAGAAAACTATAATAGAACAGGAGGGGAAATAACTAAAATATTATTAACTCTGAGTAACAGTAAAAGTTGCTTTAATGCCTATCTCCAGGTCTGTCACTATCCAAGGGTAACCTGGAGTATATCTGGAGATGTTATCGAGGGGAAATAAATTCACCTAGATTTTGATCAATTGTTCCTTATATTTAATATCACACTAAAATATTTACATATTTTAAATTGGATTACAATTGCAGATTGGGTAATAATTTGTATTTTTCTTCACAGATAGGATTTGTATTTCAATTAGACTATGAACCTATTATATGCTGTCTCTGAAAAATAAAAATCAGATAACAAAGAATTCTCCAATAATCTGATTATGAATAGGATTTTATTCATATACATATTTTTAAAGCTATCTGATCACAATTCAGAAGGTTGAAATAGTAGTAGGAATAATTTTAATTTAAAAACGAGAAAGGGCCAGGCGCGGTGGCTTACGCCTGTAATTCTGCACTCTGGGAGGCCGAGGCGGGTGGATCGCCCAAGGTCAGGAGTTCGAGATCAGCCTGAACAAGAGTGAGACCCTGTCTCTACTAAAAAATAGAAAGAAATGATCTGGACAACTAAAAAATATAGAAAAAATTAGCCGGGCATGGTGGTGCATGCCTGTAGTCCCAGCTACTCGGGAGGCTGAGGCAGAAGGATCACTTGAGCCCAGGAGTGTGAGGTTGCTGTGAGCTAGACTGATGCCACGCACTCACTCTAGCCCGGGCAAAAGAGTGAGACTCTGTCTCAAAAAAAAAAAAAAGAAAATTCACTTATACACAGAATCAAATCAAATCATTTACATACCTAATTTCGAAGCTCTCATTCTGGCAGGGACACCAAATAAAATACTATGATAATTCAAATTAAGTGTTCCTAAGGAACTTGACTGAAATTTTCTACAACCAAAGTGATAACTAGAGATAACTATTAAAAGTTAATATCTGCTATTAAATTTTTCCCAGATATTAGCCAGGCATGGTGGCATGCGCCTGTAATCCCAGCTATGCGGGACACTGAGGTTGAAGGATTGCTTCAGCCCAGGAGTTCAAGGCTGCAATGAGCTATGATCATGCCGCTAAATTCTCCAGTCTGAGCAACAGAGTGAGACCCTTGTCTTAAAAACAATAAATAAACTTCTTGGACAAAATCAACTCTGCATGCATTCTAAGTGGTGTGGGGTTGGTTCTATTAACAGAATCTCAACTCAGCACTTTCTTGGATATTGAAAAAAGTCAAAGCCAACTTCTGAGGAAACTACCGGCTTTGCTCACAACTGCTTATCCCTGTCACAGCTTTACTTCAATACAGAAGAAAGACAATTTTCCAAACAGGTGAGATTATTGGTCAGGATTTAACTTTTATATCAGAATTTCAACTCTACTGACTCTTCATCTGATTTCCCAAGCAAGCAACATGTAATGCCAACACCAAAAATACTTAACAAGAGCTAAAATCTTCTGCTTACCAATTTCTACTGAACTCCTGGAAGAACAGGGGGAAAAAGATATCAGAAAGAACCAAACACTAAATTTTCATGAGCAGTGACTCCAGGAGAATAAAATTAAATGTATACGAGGAGAATGGAGAGTGAGATACTACACACTCCTTTATGGTTTATATTTCTTCAAACAAGCATGTGTTACTTTTATAATTTTTTTAAAAAGCGACATATTTTGGGAGGGCCATGGTGGCTCATGTCTGTAATTCTAGCACTTTCAGAGACTGAGGTGGGAGGATTGCTTGAGGCCAGGAGTTTGAGACCAGCCTGAGCAAGCACTAAATCCCATCTCTACCAAAAAAAAGAAAGAAAGAAAGAAAAATTAGACAGGCATGGTGGCTCACACCTCTAGTCCCACCTGCTCAGGAAGCTGAGGCAGGAGGACTGCTTCAGCCCAGGAGTTTGATGTTGCAGTGAGTTATAATGATGGCACTGTACTCTATCCCAGGCGACAGAGATCCTGTCTCCAAAAAAAAAAAAAAAGCAATATATTTTGTTTTAACCTTGACTGAACAAATTTTTAGAGAAGACAGTTTTCACAGTTAAATATTTGCTTTCCTCTTTCTTTGAAATTATTTTTCCCTTTTTATTTTAACCTTTCACATACATCCTTTGTTGCAAGCCACTCCTTGAAATTATTTTTGGAAACAGGGATGACATAAATAAGTGTTGAATAAGATATGTCAGTGC